AATAATTAGTGTCAAACATTAGCGTTGACGAGGGAAATTCCTGAAATTCACGCGCGGCGTAAGCGCGACCGCACGCTTTTCCGCGATATCCGCGACTCTACGTTTTTAGACGTATAGAGTTCTAGTCTCCAAGCGCGCGCAGGAGTATTATTCATTCGATCGCCGAGTCTATCAAAATTCCATCATAACCGACACCCCTCCCCCCCTCCTCCCCCCCGAAAGTTCTTCCGAGATTTTACGGGAATACGCGCGCGCGCGATCTCCGTTCGACCCAAAATTCCATAGGTTAGTCGAGAAAAGTTAGGAGAATCCTAAAAGTGTTGTTATCCACTGACTCGATCAACCAACTCGATCGGCAACTCCGACGAAAGCGAAGTCCCGAGGAGATTCTTTTTCTGCAGCCGGAGCTTTAACCCGGAAACGCATTATAAAATTTTTACCTTCCTCCCCCCGCCGGCGTTGAATATAGACCTTCGAGACCACTCCTGATGGAGAGAAAGGGAGTGGAGAGAAAGAGAGAGAAAAAGGGAAGAAGGATGGGAAAGAGGAAGGGAGTATATTTCCATCAACCTCGATAACTGGGAATCTGCTTTCGAATGACGGCTTCGACTCTTCAGCGAGAGAACACTGGCCGTGCGGGAAAATTAAGTTGCAACACGACTCGGCGCACGGTGTGATCGAACATGGCACGTCATGCGTCAACGCACAAATAATTCGAATCCGTCACCGGCCGACACAATCTCGATACGTCGCGAGCGTATTAGAATTAAGATGTTTTCCATTTCCACTCGCAACATGGCGGAACTAATATCAAATGAAATATCCTCTCGAGAGCGCACAATATCACGTTTCACAGCTAAATTAGTAACATATGACACATGACACTTATAATTAATGTAACAATTCGTGACGAAACAATCCAATGGCTAATAGGAGCTCATAGCCGCCCATATGTACCGGCGAAACTAATTATTTATTTCTAAAATCGGGAATAAAACGTACGTCCCATCCGATGGCTGGCTCACTTTGGCGAAAATCCTCAATTATACTACCACGCTGGGCGGATAACAATTCCTAATATTCTCTCGAGCTCGGGAGAGTCGATCGAGAATCGCCCGATCGTTTGGAAAGTCGCGAGACGAGTGTTTCATCTTCGGGGCGTGATGATGGGACGCGCCGCCGAGGGGCTTTCGCCAATTTCGCCGCGACAAAATCCACGCGGAGCGGTGGTTCGCGTTCGATTCTCGGGACGGGACGGCTCCAACGATAAGTCATCGTCACGGCGAAGCCGGAGGAAGACGGAGGTCACCGGACGGCAACTCGGCCTTCTCCCCGGAAAGATGCCGTTGACGGAAACGTCAATTAATTACACAAAGCTGCCGGAGCGGAATGTATCTGCGAATTCAGTGCGGCGCATGTCGCGCGACGACCTGGCAGATGCAGCCGCAACGCGCGCACATTAGAGCGTGTAACGGGATGAAAGCCCGCGCGAGGCCAACGCACGTCTGGCACATCGGTCGATGTTCAAGAGTTACCGCCTCTCTCTCTCTCTCTCTCTCTCTCTCTCTCTCTCTCTCTCTCTCTCTCTCTCTCTCTCCCTCCTCCCCCTTTCGCACCTCCACCCCCCTGGCCACCCCTCCTCGCTCTCTCTCATTCTCTCTGACGCGTAAAATTTATGGCACGTAATATCATTACGTCGAATCGCCCGCGATTCCATTCGCGCCGCGGGATTCGCGCGCGGGCGCGCGCGTTACATACGACCGCTCGAAGAAAAAGCGCAATATCCGCGCCCGCTCGCTCGCTCGCGCCGGAATTCGCGTGCTAAAATAAAATTATCTGCCGGCGGCGGCGGCGGTGGCGGAGATGGCGCGGAGGGAGGCGGCGTACTCTCGCGCATTATATACTAGTCCGCGCATAATATATCGGGTATCCCGCCGTGTAATGTAGGTATCGGATAACTGTCAGACGGATATAGCGAAAGTTTCGTCTCCCCGCGCTTAAGACGCGCTTAAGCGATTTCGCGTTTCTCGGAGGATAACGCAGATGTTAGTTTTGCGTTCGCCGCGCGGAGCGGAGCGGAGTGTAGCGCGGCTGATGCGCGGCGAACGCGCCCCGCATTTCGCATTAATGTATTCCTTGTGCATCTCCCCCCTGCCCAGCCTTCTACTCCCTCTTGCGCCCATTCCTTCACCCCCTCCCCTCTCTCCACGCAGAGCCACGTAGATTTAACGCGGATTCGTAATAATTTATCTTCCGTTTAGGACGTTTAAAGTAAAGTTTCAGTTTTCTCCTGTCCCCCCCCTCTCTCTCTCTCTCTCTCTCTGTCTCTCTTCGAAAGAGAGAACGGCGGACACGGGGACGGAGGGGAGGGGAGAGGGAGTTTGCGGGAGAGAAACGTACGATTGTTTCGCTCGACGATAATGCGCCGCGTAAATAGACAGTACCAAGGACAATTTAACCCCGCCGCTGAGACAACGGAAATTGCGAGGGGATCAAAGCA